TTTCTCCTATCTTGAATGTTTCTACTTCTTCTTCTGCTAATCCGTTTACTATTACGTAGTCTATTACCGATTCCCCTCTTTTTCCTATCCAGGTAAATTCCCCCTCCTCGTCCCCTTCCTTCACCCCATTCAAGACTTCCCAACCTCTTTCTTCAATTAATTCCCATAGCAATTTTCCGTCTTTATTTTCTACTTTATCTTTCGATTTTCGTGTGTTTTCCCCGTCTTTTTCCCTGCTTTTGTTCCCTATTCTGGCATTAAAATCCCCTCCTAACAATAGAAATTCTTCTTCGGACTCTTCGATTTTTTCTTGTATTTCTTGTTTCGTGTTTCTCATTCCTCTACTATATATTGTGCAGATTCTCCATCTTTTTTTATTTACAATCAGTTTTCTTTCAACTAAGCCTTCCATTTCTATTGCCCCCTCTCCTATTTCTTTTATATCTTTCTTCACTCCTGTTATGATTCCACCTTTTGCTCTACCCTTGCGCTTTTCTTTTTTTGCCCCTTGCAATTTCCACTGAAATTCCTTTGGCAACACGTCTTTCAGTTTGTTCCAGTCTCTCTCTAGTATCCATGTTTCTGTTAGTCCCACAAAATCAAAATTTTGCACGTAGTTCCAAAATAAGTTATCTTTCTTTTTCAAACCCGCAATATTCCAAAAGAGTAATTTTAAACCACTTTTATCTTCCCCATTCTTCTTTCCCATTCCCCTATTATGTACAAAATCTACATTCTTAAACCTAAAGTCTTTATTTATCCCATCATTACTACCCCTCCCCTTTGTGTTTGTTTCTTCGGTTAGTGCTGACTTGATTTGAGAAATTTTTCTTCCAATTTTCCTTTATTTTCATTCCATATATACATTTTGTCCCCTACTTCCAGCTTCTTATATCCCACCCTTGTTGAGTATCCTTTTTTTCTTTCCTCTTTAGCTATCTCCCTAATTCCTTTTTGAATTTTTTGCTCTTGTACTGTCTAATCATTATCAATATATATTCTCTTTCCTCTCAGTTTATTTTTATTCTTCATCACCTCTTGTTTTTCCTCCCAAAGCGTCTTAACCAGTATTTTCTTGCTTTCCTCTTTCTCTATAATTATTGTTTCCAACACTTTTACTTCTACCTCAATTTCTTTTTTCAAAAATTCCTCTACTTCTTTTGCATCTGTTCTTTCCCTTATTTCCATACCCGTAATTATGAAATTGTTTCTTCTTTCTTGCCTCTCTTTTTTTTCCACCTTCTTCTCTAAATTATTGATTCTTTCTTCGAAGCTTCTCTCCTTTTGTTTCCATTCTTCTCTTTCTCTTTCCAGTATTCCATTTATTGTCTGTAATTCTTTTTTTACCCCTCTATTTTCTTCTCTCAGTTGTTTCATTTCTTCCATTAGTTGCTTCATCATTTCCATCAACGGCTCTTGTTCTTGCTTTATTTGTTCTCTTTCTTCCATTTTCAATGTTTTTGCTGGCTCTTTGCGCGGCGAGTCGTCTTCTCTCGTGCGGCGTACGCCTCTGCTGTCGCTTCCCTCACTATCAGCTCTTTCTCGCCAGGCCGCAAAAACGTCACCAATCTTATCACTCTCAATTCTTTTCTGATTCGACATAACCTTGTTGTTTTTCTTGTCTCACCAGTTGCACTCGCGTTTTTTTTTTTTTACGAAATACTCTCTTGTGCTGCTTTTACTATCACGTAATCACACTTGTTACCCCTGAAAGTCACTGTTAACTATGACTTTAGCTTTAGCTGTTGCTAACAATGTGCACTCGCTCGCTCGCTGCTCAATCAAGAATTTGAAGAATTGAAAAATCGAAACTTGGAGAAGTCGAGAAGTGGGAAAATCAAAAATAGATTAATTGAGAAATCCGAAAACATGAAAAAAACGGAAAAACAGAACTAAATTTAAAAATGGAAATAGTGAAAAATCACAAAATTGGACGAAATATCCAAAATTTGGGAAATTAAAAAATCGAAAAACCAAAACCTGAAAAATCGAAAAATTCCAGAACTGAAGAACTGAAAGATCGAAACTTCGGGAAGTCGAGAAATGGGAAAATCAAAAATAGATTAATGAGAAATCCGAAAACTGAAAATTCAGAAACGTCAGAATTTGAAAAATTAAAATATCGTAATATTTAAAAATGGAGAAATCGAAACATCAAAAAATCAAAACAATAAAAATTCGAAAATCTTAAATTTAAAAATCGAAAAACAGAAAAATCAACAAATCGAGAAATCGAAACTCGAAAATTGAAAAATCGGATAATTTAAAAATCGAAAAATTGAAACAATGAAAAATTCAAAAACGAGAAATCGAAAAATCAAAAGATCGAGAAATCGAGGAATCGAAAAATAGAGAAGTCGAAAAATTGAGAACCCGAAAATCGAAAAGTCGAAGAAATGAAATGTTGAAAAATCCCAAAACTCAAAGAAAGTTAAAAAAATTTGAGAAATTAGAAAATTGGAAAATTGAGAAATAGAAAAACCAAAAAAGCAAAGTCGAAAATTCGAAGAAAAATCAAAAATAGATTAATTGAGAAAGCGGAAAACTGAAAATTTAGCAACGTCAAAATTTGAAAAATTGAAAACAGAAATACTGAAGAACTGAAAAATCAAACAGAAATCGAAAAATCTAAAATTTGAAACATCGAACAATTAAAATATCGCAAAATTGAAAAATCCAGGAATCCAAACATTAAAAAATCAAAAAATAAAAATTCGAAAATCTAAAATTTAAAATTGGAAAAACTGAAAAATCACAAAATTGAACGAAATATCCAAAAATTGGGACATTAAAAAATTGAAAAATTGAAAAATCGAAAAATTGAAGACCTGAAGAACTGAACGATTGAAACTTTGGGAAGTCGAGAAATGGAAAAATCAAAAAATAAACTGCGAAATCGGAAAACTGAAAATTCAGAAACGTCAAAATTTGAAAAATTAAAAAATATTGAAGAACTAAAAAATCTAAAAATCTAAAAATGTAAAATTTAAAACATTGCAAAATGAAAATATCGTAAAATTGAAAATGGAGAAATCTAAACATCAAAAAATCAAAAAAATGAAAACCTAAAATCTAAAATTTAAAAATCGAAAAAATGAAAAATCTCAAAATTGAAAGAAATCAATTGAGAAATTAAAAAATTGAAAAATTGAAAAATTCATGAACTGAAGAACTCAAAGACCGAAACTTTAGGGAGTCTAGAAACGGGAAAATCAAACAGATTAATTGAGAAATCCGAAAACTAAAAATTTAGAAACGTCAGAATTTGAAAAATTAAAATATCGTAAAATTCAAAAATGAAGAAATTGAAACATCAAAAAATCACAACAATAAAAATTCGAAAATCTAAAATTTAAAAATCGGAAAACAGGAAAATTACAAAATTCAACGAAATCTCCAAAAATTGGTAAATTAAAAAATTGAAAAGTCCAACAATTGAAGACTTGAAGAACTGTAAAATAGATTCATTGAGAAATCGGAAACCTGAAAATTCAGAAACATCAAAATTTGAAAAATTAAAAAATATTGAAGAACTGAAAAATCGAAAAACCTAAAATTTAAAACACTGAACAATTAAAAATGGAGAAATCTAAACGTCAAAAGATCAAAAAAATAAAAATTCGAAAATCTAAAATTTAAAAATCGAAAAACAGAAAAATCAAAATTGAAACTCGAAACTTAAAAAAATTGGAAAATTGAAAAATTGGATAATTCAAAAATCGAAGAGGAAAAGTTGAAAATGGAAGAATCGAGAAATTGAACAATCAAAACATCAAAATAAAAAATCGAAAAATTTTAAAAATTGAAAAATTAAAACATCGAAATGTTGAAAAATTAAGAAATCGAAGTATAAAACAGTCGAAAAATTGAAAAATCTAAAGTTCAACGAAAAATTAAAAAACCAAAAAGTAAAAATTCGAGAAAGCAAAAAATTCTGGACCCCAAAAATGGGAAAGTCGAAAAATTGAAATAATGAAAAATCCCAAAACTGAAGGAAATGTCCAAAAATTAGGAAATTAAAAAATTTGAAAATTGAGAAATTGAAAAACTAAATAAGCAAAATCAAAAAATCGTTTGCTTAAAAAATTGTAAAATTGAAAACTCAAAAACCTAAAAAATTGAAAAACTCCAGAAATGAAGAAATGAAAAATCGAAAGTTTGCGAATTCTAGAAATGGGAAAAATAAAAAAATTACCTCAGAAATCGGTAAACTGAAAATTTAAAAACGTCAAAATTTGAAATCGTATCACTGAAACATCGGAAAATTCAGAAAACGAAAAATAAAAAAAATCGAGGACTCGAAAATTTGAAAAATGGAAAAACTAAAAAATTCAATAATTGAAATATTGAAAAATTGAGGCATCTAAAGTTGAAAAATTGAGCATTTGTTCGACAAAATTTTATTATTTTTATTCGATAATAATTCGATATCTTCGCCTAGACGAAAAAAATACGTCACTGGTGGTTTTTGTTTTTAAGCAAAACCTTGTCAGGTTTAATAAAGCAATTTCGAACGGCAAAAAATGAACGAGTAATCTTTCACGAACCACACATTTTTTATTACACATTTCGAGTGATTTCACCTTTTAATAATAATTCTGCTCGCGAAATCAATTCATCACAACACTCATTATTCCACCGACCTTCTGCTTCCATCTCAAATTCGACCTCACCTAATTCCAACGGCAAGATCCACCTCGACCAAAGACTGCGTTAATTACCCCAAGTGCAAAACTGCAATTCTCCTCACGTGCAAGGCGGTATTTTTTCAAAGGTGAAGAGTCAGTTCGCCTCTTCGGTATTCCTGCGTATCACATTTCATCCAATTGTTATAATTTCGTCGATGCCTCTTTCGGGAGGGAGCTGTGAACTTCTTTCATCTTTCACAGTTTCCAAGCAATTGTTGGCCTTTGTTAGCAATGCGTGTGAGTGTTGTGAAAGGTCGGACGCTGATTAGGAAACGTAGGAGAGAGCGATTGTTTGGGTTCATCTCAACATCTTCCAGTCAAGCGCTCCGGTATCTTCAGTCATTCTTCAGTCTTCAGTCTCGATGTGCTCGCACACTCTCACCCGCACGTGAGGACGGCATTTCTTGTGGTTGTGTGTTGGTTTAATGGGATACTTTGCCACCAGGTGAGTGCACATTTTTGAATTTGTGTGGTCCGGATTTTTGACTTTTTTTGAAAATTTTCAGAAAAGCACTTTGAATTAGCACTTGATGTTAATGAGCATGTAACTGTAACTAGTGTAGATCGGGTTTTTTGCTTTTTGACTTTGTTTCGAAAATTTTTGGAAACGTGCCACTTTCGTAAATTTTCAGTGAGCGATTTATCCGATGATGAGAAACCGGTTGTTTGTCAACGCGTCATGGATAGGTCAGGTTTGTGAAATTATGTAAAAGTGCCACTAATGTAAAGGTGGTCTATTAATAATTAGCACTTTATGAGATCGCGTCTTCCGTGACGATGAGCACTTTGGTTAAATTTGCACGTATTGTGAAACTGTAAATTAATTTTTAATATCGTCACTTCATTTCGAAATGGGTTTCTACGGTCGTGGAAATGTCACTTTAACAAAAGCGTGTAAATGTTCGCTAAGTGATTTTCGTTTCGAAATGTGCAAATTAAGACATAATTTCGGGAAGAAACAATTAAAATTCTCTAGTTGTATGCAAATTAAAGCGTTCAAGTACAAAATGTAAATCGGGTTTGGAATGAGGGATAGAATTATACAGTTCTCGAAAGGATTGTTTGTTCACATTTATAAGTAATTAATAATCATGAAGTGGCTACTGTGGTCTTTTGATTACCGCTGTATGTAATATTCAGTGTTGAATAATAATCGAGATGCAAATTATAATGCATTTATGGATAGCTGCTGGCTTTCTTTGATCTTTTGTAGAGGAAATCTCGTGCTCACATTTAGTTTCTTTGCAAGCAATAATCCTCTCATTAGTGGAGATATCGAATATTAAGAACGAAAATTGATCTTACACATACATGTTATATGTGTATATAGAATGTGATCAGTTCCAAGAAATTAATTACTTCATAATTTCTAAACTTTCTGTGAATGCTGCGATTTTTTAAATTTTAAATTCCACAAGGATAAGACTTGGGAAAAATTAAGTCTATTATGTGTGACACGCATCTATTATTGACAACAGTTAAACAAACGATTGTTTCTCATTTGCAAAATTTAAATGCTAATTGCAATTTTTATACTAATTATATTATTGTTAAGGTTTGCTGACTTAAACTTGACTTAAAATTTTATATTTTCGCCTTTCAATCTCTCTCTCTTTCTCTCTCTCCCACACCGTGAGCTATCTCACTGAGTTGTATATTGAAATTTCGTGGTTGCAAACTCAACGGTTAATTAACAAAAAAAAAAGTGTAACTCTGCCTGTCAACAAATAAAACAAAATATTTTTTCTTTCTTTTTTTTCTCTCAATCTCAATAACCATCAACTTTAAGAAAATACTTAACAAAAAAGAAACAGAAAAAAAAAACAAAATAAGATGCAATAATAAAATGCGGGGTGTTCTGTTTGAAAAATCTGAAACAACGATATTTGAAAATTATTATAATTAATTTTCTATAAACACTCTGTATATTAAAAGTTAGTTTTATTTATACTTCAATAAAGGGCGTATCTTTATTTATCTTTTCACAAAATATTGCAACCCAGGTTTTAAAAATAACCCTACTGCGATTTATTTTGTGAACCTAAAATATTTCAAGAAAACTGTAATAACTTGGCAACGTCGTGTAATTTTTTGGAAAAGTTGAAGAATTGAAAAATCAAAAAACTGATGACGCAAAAAAATGAAAAGTTGAGAAATTGAAAAATTATAAAACTGAAATATCGGTAAATAAAAAATCGAAGAATACTAAAATCGAAGAAAAAATTAAAGGATCGGTAAACTGAAAAATCCCAAAATTGGAACATCAAAAACTGAAATGTCGAAAAATCGAAAAATTGGAAAATCCAAAAATTAGAAGTACGTACCAAAATTTGAAAAGTTGAAAAATCGGGGAATTGAAAGCTCGAGAAATGAGGAAATCAAAAAATAGAAAAATCTCAAAGTCAAAATTGAGAAATTGAGAGTCAAAAATTGAAAAATTTAATAAAAAAGTTGAAAAATTGTAATACTGAAATATCGGAAAGCTGAAAAATCGAGACACTGAAAACCTGAAAAATCGAAAAATTATAAAATCCCAAACCTGAAATATCGAAAAATTAATACATCCATGAATCGATAAATTGCAAAATCAAAGAAAAAATTAAAAATCTAAAAATTGAAAAACTCCAACACTGAAACATTGAAAAACGATAAATCGAAAAATCGACAATTTAAAAAATTGAAAAGCTAAAAGTTGAAAAATTGAAAAATCGACAAGACCTGAGAAATGGGAAAATCAAAAATCAAGAAAGTGATAAATCCAACTGGAAAATAATGGAGACATCGAAAAGTCAAAAATTGAAAAAACTGAAAAATCGAGAAATCAAAAAATTGACAAATCGTAAAACTGAAATAACCGAAAATTGAGAAATCGAAAAGTTGAGAAAACGAAAAATCGCAAATTTTTATTGTCAAAAATTGAAACACTGAATGAAAAAGTTGAAAAATTGTAATACTGAAATATCGGAAAGTTGAAAAATCGAGACACTGAAAAGCCGAAAAATCGTCAATTCAAAAAATTTAAAACCTGAAAAATCGAAAAATTGATACATCCATGAATCGAAAAATTGCAAAATCAACGGAAAAATTAAAATATCGAAAAATTTAAAAACTCCAAAACTGAAACACTGAAAAACGATAAATCGAAAAATCGACAATTTAAAAAATTGAAAAATCTGAAAGTTGATAAATTGAAAAGTAGAAAAATTGAAAAATCGACAAAACTTGAGAAATGGGAAAATCAAAAATCGAGAAAGTGATAAATCAAACTGGAAAATAATGGAGAAATCGAATAGTCAATAAAATTGAAAAACTGAAAAATCGAGAAATCAAAAAATTGACAAATCGTAAAACTGAAATATCCGATAATTGAGAAATCGAAAAGTTGAGAAATCGAAAAATCGCATATTTTTATGGTCAAAAATTGAAAAATTGAATGAAAAAGTTAAAAAATTGTAATACTGAAATATCGGAAAGTTGAAAAATCGAGACACTGAAAAGCCGAAAAATCGTCAAGTCAAAACATTTAAAACCTGAAAAATCGAAAAATTATAAAATTCGATACCTGACATATCGGAAAATTGATACATCCATAAATCGAAAAATTGCAAAATCGAAGGGAAAATTAAAAAATCGAAATATTGAAAAACTCCAAAACTGAAACATTGAAAAACGATAAATCGAAAAATCGACAATTTAAAAAATTGAAAAGCTAAAAGTGGATAAATTGAAAAATTGAAAAACTGTAAAGTTGAAAAATCGTAAAACTGAAATATCGCAGAAAAATCGAAAAAGAAAATTAAAGAATCGGCAAACTGAAAAATCCCAAAATTGGAACGTCGAAAAATTGAAAAAACCCAGAAAACTGATAAATCGATAAATCGAAAAATAGTAAAATCGAAGAAAAAATTAAAGAATCGGTTGTATTGAAAAATCCTGAAACTGAAACATTGAAAAATTGATAAATTGAAAAACTGAAAAGTTGAGAAATTGAAAAATCGTAAAACTGAAACATCGGTAAATAAAAAATCGAAGAATTCTAAAATTGAAGAAAAAATTAAAGGATTGGTAAACCGAAAAATCCCAAAATTGGAACATCAAAAACTGAAATGTCGAAAAAAATTGTCAAGTCGAAAAATCGAAAAATTGGAAAATCGAAAATTAGAAGTACGTACCGAAAATTGAAAAATTGAAAAATCGACAAATTGAAAGCTCGGGAAATGAGGAAATCAAAAAATAGAACAATCTCAAAGTCAAAAATTGAGAAATCGAAAAATGGCAAATTTTTAGGGTCAAAAATTGAAAAATTTAATAACTGAGTTGAAAAATTGTAATACTGAAATATCGGAAAGCTGAAAAATCGAGACACTGAAAAGTCGAAAAAGCGTCAAGTCAAAAAATTTAAAACCTGAAAAATCGAAAAATTGATACATCCATAAATCGAAAAATTGCAAAATCAAAGAAAAAATTAAAAAATCGAAAAATTGAAAAACTCCGAAACGGAAACATTGAAAAACGATAAATCGAAAAATCGACAATTTAAAAAATTGAAAAATCTGAAAGTTAATAAATTGAAAAGTTGAAAAACTGAAAAATCGACAAGATTGAGAAATGGGAAAATCAAAAATCGAGAAACTGGAAAATAATGGAGAAATCGAAAAGTCAAAAGGCCGAAAAATCAAAAAATTGAAAAATCCTAAACCTGAAATAACGGAAAATTGAGAAATCGAAAAATCGAGAAACTCAAAAATTTTAAAAGTCGAGAAATGAAGAAATCAAAAAATAGAAAAATCTTAAAGTCGAAAAGTTGAGAAATCGAAAACTTACAAATTTGGAAACGCCAAAAATTTAAAAATTGAAAAATCGAAATATCGAAGAATCAAAAAGTTGAAAAATTGTAAAACTGAAATATCGAAAAATTCCAAAATCGAAGAAAAAAATTAAAGAATCGAAAAATTGAAAACCCCACTGAAACATTAAAAAACTGAAAAACGGAAAACTTTAAAAACTGAAAAATCGAGAAGTCCAAAAATTCGAGAAATGAGAAAATCAAAAATCGAGAAATTGATAGATCAAACAACTGAAAAATAATCGAAAAATCAAAAGCCACAAAAATCCAAAAATTGAAAAAACAGATAAACCGAGAAATCAAGAAGTCGAAAACCTCAGAAATGGGAAAATTAAAAAATCGAAAAATCTAAAAATCAAAAAATTGAAAAATCGTAAAACTGAAATAACGGAAAATTGAGAAATCGGAAAATCGAGAAACTGAAAATTTTAAAAATCGAGAAATGAAATCAAAAAATAGAGTAAGTTGAGAAATCGAAAACTTGCAAATTTAGAAACGCCAAAATTTAAAAATTGAAAAATCGAAATATTGAAGAATCAAAAAGTTGAAAAATTGTAAAACTGAAATATTTATTTATATATAGAATTTCCCACCCCATT